GCCCCACCCTCTATGGCACTGTGCACCCCTCCTCCCCCCACCCCACCCTCTAGAGCTGAGGGGTGGGGAATTGGGGGTACAGTATGGCGGAGTCTCTCTTGATCTCAGAAAAGGCAGCCCCTGGATTACCCCCGAGGTCTGCACCTGGCAAGGCCTGCCCTCCCTCTCCGGCCTTGACCTTGGGCACGGCATTTCTCCTTTGCAGCCTTCGTGTGCTCCTCTGTGACGGAGGTCCCTGTGAGCATGCAATGTGTCCAGTCAGTGGTCAGGGAGCAGGAAGTGTGGCTTGGTGGGGGACCTGAGGGAGGACAGGCCTGGGAGGGGGAGGCTGTGGTGAGCCTGGGCCCACCCAGAGGGTGACAGGGTGTCTCTGACAGGACCTCACAGCAGAAGGGTGGCTCCCAGGGTGTGGCCTTTGGCCACGGGGCTGGCACCACCTTGTCACTCCCCGCTGAGCTCAGACCCGAAAGGCCAGTCCCCAGGAAGCTGTCTCCTACCTCCCGAGTCTGTCCCTTTCCTGTCGGGGGAAGGAGCTTTGGTTCTCTTTGAACCTAAGTGCCCACCACGTGCAAACCCCTGGCACACAGTAGGTGCTCAGTCACGTGCTGTGTCCTTCCTGTCCCGGCCCTAACCCCACCTCCAGCTCAGTGGGCAGCTCCACGGCTCCCGTGGCCGGGCAGGGCCGTGTGTCCAGCTCCGGCTGCCCCTGGGGACTCTTCCCATTGAAGGGCCAAGAGTGACCGGCTTGCAGAGGGACCAGCCAGCAGGGCTCTTCCCAGGCTCCCGACAGCCCAGCCCAGCAGCCCCCTTTCTGGGCGCTCTCCAAGTGCTAACCACCCCGCAGACCGCAGCTTCTTTAGTTCTCTCCCAGAGGGCTGGGCCGGGGCACAGAGAAGGGTTGAGCCTGGCCCAGAGTCACACAGTAAGGGGCAGAGCAGGTCTCCAACACAGCGCCCAGCTCCTGCTCCTGAAAGACAAATGAGCAAAACCAAGGGCGTGAACACGGGAGCAGCCCAGAGCAGCCACAGCTGAAGGCAGGGTTTTTTTTGGGGTGGAGGGGGGGTGTCTAACTGGGCCCTTCCTGAAGGAAGGCCTTGGGTTCACAGGGAGGGGCTTTACGGTGGAAGGAAAGGCGGGAGCAAGAGCCTGCAGGTGTGGGCGTTGGAGGCGGGGCCTGGTGGGCTTGGGGTGGTTACTGAGGACTGAGGGGAACTGAGCAGCAGCCCTTCAAGGTTCCTAATGGGGGAGGAACAGGTGAGGGTGGGCCTGGGGCAGGGGCTGGAGGGGCAGAGCTGTCCCCGGAGGCTGCTTGCAGCAGGGCCTGGGCTAGTTTGCGAAGGGGACCAGGACTTTCCCATCCATTGTCCCTGTGCCGGACTCCCCTGCCCTGGGAAGGGTGCTCTGCCTGCTGCGTCCTCTCTGCCTCTGTGCTGAGAATGGGATGTCCCGCCCCGTGGGATCTGGAGGCCGCTCCGCAGGCCCAGCAGCTCCAGGCTGCCCCCCAGCCCTTTCCCCAGAAGCGCCAGGAGCGGGGACTGCCCAGAGCATCTTCCCGTCTCTCTCCCCAGGAGCATGACATTGAGACGCCCTACGGCCTTCTGCACGTGGTGATCCGGGGCTCCCCCAAGGGGAACCGCCCGGCCATCCTCACCTACCACGATGTGGGCCTCAATCGTAAGTGTCCCCCCTTCCCCCGGCCTCACCTGGCCGTTCCCCACCTCACATCTGCCAGGGGAGCGGGGCCTGCCCTCCTCCCCCCGTAGGTCCCCACACACTCCGCTCTGTGTCCTTAGCCACTGGGGCCTTGGTTTCCCCACTGGACCGTGAGGCTGCTCCCCCTCCCCCTCGGAGCGGGGCCTCCCCCCCCTCCGCTCAGCCACAGGTGTGTCTCCGCAGACAAGCTGTGCTTCAACACCTTCTTCAACTTCGAGGACATGCAGGAGATCACCAAGCACTTCGTGGTGTGCCACGTGGACGCGCCCGGCCAGCAGGTGGGGGCGTCCCAGTTTCCTCAGGGGTAGGTACCCGAGCCCCCCCGCCCGCCTCTCCCCAGCTCTGCGCCCCAGGCCACACCTGGGCCTGACCTCCTGCCCCTCCCGCAGGTACCAGTTCCCGTCCATGGAGCAGCTGGCCGCCATGCTCCCCAGCGTGGTGCAGCACTTCGGGTGAGTCCCGCCCCCTCCCTGT